CTCATTGAGCCTCTGCGCCTGGGATACGAACTAAAATCCATCAACTAAATTTCAAAAGAAAAATGGAACAATTCAGCTATGAGGATGTTCACTGCAGTATTAATTATATTGTTACCTATAAGAGAATAGAGTCAATGAATTATGACCCATTTGTACAGTAGAGGCTAATATGCAGCTATTAAGTGCATGTTTCCCAAGACTATCTAATGACATGGGAAATAAATCTGGGTCCCATATTCTACTGATAAGTAAAAGAAAACTGGATACCACATTCTACTAATTATAAGAAAAAAACTATATACATATACACGCAGAAGAAAGCCTTGGAGGCAATGCATCAAATGTCAACAGTGATTATCTCTGGGTGGTTTTTCTATTCTTTGTATCTTCCAACTTGTCCATTAGAACATCTTATTTTTCAGCATCAGGAAAAATGTGTTTGTTCGGTTTAGTTTTCTTTTCTTTTTTTTTTTTTTAAGCTAGAGAAATGATTTCTAACACCAAAAGAAATCACAAACGAATTTTTAAAAGGGTGCTGGTTGAATGCTGCCATTCACCACGGAGAGCACTTACATCGTGCCAGCCACAACAGGCAACTTTCCTGAGCACCGGCCTGCGGGCTTCGGAGTCTCAGAAAGCCTCCGCCAGGTGCCTGGCTTCCTCTTACCTCTTTCTTCTTATCTTTCCCCCTTCTTCCTGGGGCTCTTCCCACATGGATACGCTAGGTCTCCTACGTCTGTCTTTAGACAATCAGAGTTCTGACTTTGTCAGGATTCGAGGCTGCTAAGCTCCCCTGCTACAGGTCCCGCACGATCTGGCCCCCACTCCCACCTACAACCTCGCCTCTCTGACATCAGTCTCCCCCTGCCCCAGGGTCTTAGCACAGGCTGCTATTTTTGCCTGAACCCATCCATCTTCCCCCAGGGAGCTGCAAGGGCTCATCCCCTCACCTGTATGTATTTGGCACTACATAGTACTGCCCATGAACTCTCCTTCAGGAGAGTAAAGAGTGCTATACAATGTCTGTCGTAAAGAAGAGGCGACGGGTCTGACAGGGTTGAGGCCCACTGCTGTACTGATGGCTGGGTGGCATTTCCGTCTCTCACACTAAATTGGAAACTCTGGGAGGCCGAGGACTGAGCCCAAGCATATTTGCTGAAATGAAATGAATGAATACGTGAGCAGGCTCAGAGAGGCGAGTCACACTCCTGCCTGGGTGTGCAGGGACCTGGCTGGGAGGCAGTGAGGACCTGCTCACTGGCCAGGAACTGAGGTCTGGGTGCCCCGGAGGCCTAGGGGGAGCTAAGGGCCCAGAAGGCGAGAGCAAGAAGCTGCCTGCTCCCTGCACCAGCAGCACTCCTGCCTCTCTCCAGAAGCCCACCCTTCGCCAGGCCTGCTGGAGGCTATCGGCCCCACAAAGCCCGTCGCGGTTCATGGATCACGGAGGCCCACGGCTTCACTGTGCGTGAAGGAAAGACTCCCTGAGGACTTGGAGTCCAAGGCCTGCGTAGAATCCTGCAGTCTTAGGCAGGCCACTTTAACCTCTCTGTGTCTGTAAGCTGGGGTCACTCATACCTGCCCAGCCCCCAGCCCTCGGTGGGAATCAAATAGACGGTAAACATGAGAGGCCTGGTCAACGGTGAGGACTGTGCAAATGTTGGTGACTGTTACACGGAGTCATAGTTTTACTGCTGAGCACAAATGAATGGTGGTTCAGGAGCTTAAGCTCTTCCTCGTCAACATCAAGGATCACTGACTAGTATGAGAACTTTCTCGGTATTTCAGTTCCAGGTGAGCAAGGCTTTTCTGCAACCTGTGAAAGCGTGCTGGCCGCCCCGGGGTCCACTCCAGTCCCCTGCTGGCCCGGCCGCCCACACCGTCCCATGGATGGGGGAGGGTTTGTCGACTCGGGCAGAATGAATTCACTTGAGCAGGAAGCTCTGCTCCGGTGCGAGCGCGTCTCTCCACTCCCCCCTCTTCCCTTTGATCTTCCCACTGAATTCGGAGCTGCAACAACAGAGGCAAAACCGCTCAGATGTAATTATTTTAATTCAGCCAGATGCTGGGAATTAGTCTCTTTTCCTTGCAAGTATTCTAGGGAAAGAGAGAACTCAGCCAAAGATGGCCCAAAGAAAAGGAGATGACAATTTCGGGGAAGGAGGGGACCCCCCCCCTTGTGCTGGAACAGCTTAAATCCAGGAAACTGCTGCCACCCCTGGATGCAGCAGGGAGGGGGAGGGAGGAGGGGAGAGGGCGGGCTAATGGGTATTAAATTCAGACTGTTCACCAATCCCGGAAAACTAGACCAAATAACAGCACCCAGCATTTTCCAGAGCTTTAGAATTTCCAAAGCACTTTCACTTTTGTGACCTTATTTTAATTATAAACCAGGGGGAAGTCACCGGCTGAGCTAGAAGCTTGGGGGCCAGCTGAATGCAGGCTTCAAGGAGTTCAGTGTCTCCCAGGCACCCTGAAGAAGCCAGGCACCAGTCGGGCACAGTCCATCTCCTTTAATCCTCACAGTAACCCTCTGAGCCCCAACACAGGGGGACAACCTGAGGCTCAGGAAGCTTAACCAAAGCGCTATCCTACTGGTCAGCTGGGTCCTGTCCCTCGTCTGAACTCCGGTAGCGTCCGGACCGCAGCATACACAGGTGTGGCTTCATCACCTGCTGCTGTGCTTCCTGCTCATTCGTCACAGGTTTGTGACAGGTCCCTACGAGCACCTACTGTGTGCCCAGCCCTCTGCTGGGGGAACACGGGGGAGGGTTAGGCTGTTGTCAAGCTGCTCCAGCCCCACCGAGGGAAGCAGACAGCAGAGAAAGCAGAGCCAGCAGTTGCGTGTGAGTAGATGTGGCTCTTGCTGCACTGCCCTGGCCCCGCCGGTGTGCCTCGTTCCCCGCCCCGAAGCCCTAAAGGCAGTTTGGGACAGCACAGCCTCGCGGGTGAAGATCCCGGCTCTAGAACCAGACGGCCTGGGTTCCGTCTCTTCTACTCAGTGGCCGTGTGACCTTGGGCAGGTCACGTAACCTCTCTGCAAAATGAGGACCATATTACATCAGACATTATAATACATCATACTACACATTACATTACATATTATAGTCCATCAGATAAACCAGTAGATACATGTAACCATTCAGCACAGAGTGTGGCTCAGAATAATTGCTCAATTAATGTGGCTAACAGTTTATACCTCCATCCCAGTAGTACTCAAAGCATGGACCAGGACCCACCCCACCCCCCGGAAGGGGGTCCATGAGGCCAAAACTATGTTCATAACAATGCTAATAAGATATGGAGTTTTCCAGAAGTTACCCGACGGTGACGTCACAACAGACTGACTGCAGAGCAGGTGTGAGGGTGCCATTTTCTTGGGTCGAGTCGGGCATTACAGAAATGTGCTGAGATGTGCAGAAACGTAAAACAAGGCCACTCTTCTCACAGATGACTTTTGTTTGGGAAAATACAGTTATTTTTCAAACAAGATGTTATTTATGTTCACCAATAGCTGGGTAAACTATTGTTATTCTTAAATGAATTAATGCATAATTTAAATTTTTCTCAATTTTAAATAAATATTGATAGCTAACAGATACGACAGTTGCACCGACTTTCCATGAAGGTCAGAAAGTCTTATGTGTTTTTAAGCCAGGCACCATGCCTGGAGTTTGCCGTAGCTGTTGCCTCTGTGGAATGTCTGTCTGGCGGGACAGGGCTACGGGCTGTCAGTGCGCCGGGGGCCTTCAGAGGCTCACCCCACCCCTTGCTGCAGTCTTTTCAGGACGGCTTTCATGCTGGGATGTGTCTGGCTGCACTTTTTGGCTGGGGGTACTAGGGGTGTGGGAGCAGCCAAGGCCGGGTCAGAAAGCCTTGTCCTCAACCCTCCCAGGTCCTCTAGCCTGAGCTGTACCCCGCCCCATGGGAAGCTGGGTCCCCAGGTTACCCCAAGCTTGGTTGTGCTCACGCTTTATTGCTGCTTCTACCTTTTCTCCCCGGGCCCCATCACGTTTCCACCTGGGGCTCCTAATGAACTTAAGAGGCATGCCAGCCTCAGTGGTTTGCAGAAATGAGCCTGGGCTCTAGAATCAGACTGACCTGGGTTAGAACCCTGACTCTACCCCTCTTGTCCTTTATCAGGTGACTTAGCCTCTCTGGGCCTCAATTTTCTCATCCATAAAATGGGAATAACAATAGTACCTAACTCTTAGGACTGTTTTCAGGAGTAGTCATAACTTGTGTAAAATACCCATCACTTGGCAAGTAAGAATTATATTTTGTCATTTTCAGCCGTGGGGTCCCCTGAGCCCCTTCAGCTGTCCCCGCCTGCTGCTTCTCCACAGGTGCACAGAGGAAACAAAACCAAGGCTGCTTGGGATTGAGACTCTGCTTCCCAACACACGCACACATGCATATGCACACATGTGTGCACACACAGATGCACCATGTGCGTGCGCATGCACACACACATATGTGCAGGCGTACGCACACATGCGTGCACATGTACACATACACACACTCTCACCTATCCCCCACCACACGCCCTCACTGCCTCAACCCCAGGCAGGCTGTCACCCTATTCTAGAGCTAAAAGTGAAAAATGAATGCCACGTGCCCAGGCTGCAAGACTGAAAAGGCCCCTCTGCTGCCAGTGGTGGTGCCAAGGCAGTCTTGGCTCAGGACAAGTAAGTGGTGCCACGGTAGGGAGTGGAAGGAGCCCTGGCGTGGGAGCCAGGGGCCAGGGCTCCTGGCCCAGCTCTGCTGCTGGCTGTGGGGAGTTCCTTCCCCTCTAGGCTTTGGTCAGCTCAGCTGAAAAAGGAAAGCCTTCCACCTTCTAGCTCGGATGTTAGGGAATTCTAGGACAGGTGACACCGAGGAGCCCTGGCCTCCCGTTCCCTCCAAGGGTACACATGGTCGCGGGTCGCAGGGAGGCAGCCTCCCCTCCCTCCCACTCCACCCCATCCCGCCAGGTCCTGCCCTGCAGTCCCTCTGCCACTCACCCTGCAGTTGCTGAGCTCCTCAGCGGACAGGATGATGGTGCCGCATTTCTTCCCTGGGACACCACTGGGAGGGGAGAAGATGAAAGGATGGCGAGCCAAAGACAGAGGCAGGGGCCTGCACACTCCCCCACTCAGCCCTCCTCAGCCTCCCCGCCCCGCCCGGCAGGTCTGCCCCAGCTCCCAGCCCCGGAGAAGACAGGGTCCCTGAAACAGTGTCAGGGTGGCCTAGGGCACTGCTTCCCGGGCCAGGCCCCAGGCCTGGAGCTGCCCCACCCTGCTCCCCGAGAGCCCACCAGGAAAGGTGGCGTCTGCACTGAAAGTCCTAGAATCGGAAAAGCATCCAGACTCACCCGGAGGCTTCCAGACCAGTGGTTCTCAAACTTTCCATCCAAAGACCACTTCTGTGGGCAAAAGACCTTGTGGGCCAGCAACCCCACTTTGCACCCAGCTGACCCCAGAATCCCAGAACATTCCGCTTTGAGCCCTTCTGATTAATCTCAGGAGAGCAGCAACAGGGAGTCAAGAAGGGCGGGCATTCCCTCAGGGGCAGCATGCCCAGCCCCTCGCCCGTGACTACCTCCCCTGGAACAACTGGGCTGGGGTCTCTCTGGGAGAGGAACCCCAGCCAACCACACAGCTCCTCAGGAAGACGGATGATGAGGACCTGAAGTCGGCCCACCCGGAGAATCCCCTCCAGGAGGGCAAGTTCCCAGGGTGGGGCTCCACCCAGGTGACCTGCACCACCTCCTGCCATGTTCAGGAGGGTCCCCTCCCCCTAGCACTAGCCCATCCTACTCTGATGTTTGGTACTACTGGGGTTCCCAGTGCAGCCAGGGGCCACTGGGAGGTAGAAGAAAATGTCAGGATGTCCAGCAGCTGCATGACTTTGGGCTCATTACTGCACCTCTTTGAGCCTCAGTTTCCTTACCCATAAAATGGGTATGATTGTAGCATCCATTTCACTACCTAATATGCATACACAGGCCTGTCGCAAAGAAAGCCCTCAAGGAGCGTCATTTCCCTCCCTGCCCCTTTTCCTTTACAACTTTTCAAAGCTAATAAGATCCAGCCCCACACTTCAGGACAGCCTCTGGGCCACCAGCATGCTGACTGTGGAACACATTTTGAGAACCACTGATGGAGGTCTTCCCAGCACCAATTCTCAGAGGAAAGGGCCTTCACACAGAGGGGGCAGGGGAGCTGGTCCCGGGGTCTGATGAGATGGCCCAGATCTCTCCATATCAGGGGAGCAGGGGAGCAAGGGCCACATGTGGAAGTTCCCCTGCCACAGGCAGGTGGCAGTGCCTGCCAGCTTGTCAAGCCCTTAGATAGCAGCAGCTGAACCAAGTGTCCCCAAGCCCCTCCCTTCCCCCTGCCGGGCTCCTCCTGGCAGTAGAGATATGATTTGTTTGACCAGGTGATAAAATCCTCACACCAGCCTCCTTACCCAGTGCTACTGCATCTGTCCCTCTCTCTGCCTCTGAGCCCCTCTTCTATTTCGGAACTTCCCCCCCCTCTCCAGCCCTGCTCCCACCTGCTAGGCCTTCCTTTCTCTCTCTCCCTCCCTCTGGTCTTTCTCACCCTCCCTCTCTGTTTCTGTCTCTGACTCTGGCTCTCTTTCTAATTGTTGCTTCTCTACTCCCTTGAAAATCATCACCCACACCCTTCCTGGGCTGTGAGCCTCCCTGAGTCCCCTGGTGGCCCCTTTCCCACATCCAGCTGGGCTGGGGGTCAATCCAGCTGCTGGGACCCCAGCCCCAGGGAGCCCTCAGCAAAGGCCAGTGGAGCTCTGCTTACTCAACCAAATGCTCATCTTTGGGAGAAGCCTCCAGGCTGGTCCCCCAGCCGAGCTCCCTCCCCTGCCCCCTGCTGGGGTAAGGACCCTGCCTCCAACCTGGAGAGGAGAAGAGGGAAGGAGTGGGGAAAGTCTGCGTTGCCCACATTTGCATGACTCCCTGTCAGTCAGGGCACATACTGGGTTGCAGGTTGGATCCCCAGTCAGGACATGTGCGGGAAGCAACCAATCGATGTTTCTCTCTCTCCCTCTCTCTTCTTCTCTCTCTAAAATCAATAAATACATATATATATTTAAATATATCTTTTATTGATTTCAGAGAGAGGAAAGGAGAGGGGGAGAGAGAGATAGAAACATCAATGACGAGAGAGTCATTGATCGAGCCCACAACCTGGGCATGTGCCCTGACCGGGAATCAAACCCCGATCGCCTGGATCCTAGGTCGATGCTCAACCGCTGAGCCACACACCGCCGGGCAATAAAAATATATTTAAAAATAAATAAATAAATAAAAAGGTTTATAACTTGCAAAAAAATAAAAAGAAACCAGGCCAGCAGAGAAAGGGAAGGGAAAGTGCCCAGCCCCTCTGACTCCTGTTAACAGCCCCTACCTTTAGACCCCACCCCGCTTGCAGAAGTTCCATGAGCCACTGGGGCTCCAGCCTGGATGGGCAGTTCTCGTGGAGGGGCCCAGGGTCTTCTCTGTCACCCGGGGCCAGGACTGAACAAACAGTGGTGGGAGTGGGGACAGCGCCAGGACTCTGAGGCCCCTCTGCAGAGCTGGCTGAATGTCTGAGAACTCCAGGGCCAAAGGTGTCTGGTGACCTACCCGTTGGACACAGCTGGCATGGGTTTGCCTGTCCTGGAATTCAGGCTGAAGGCTCCTATCCTGTGCAGAGAGGAAGAGAGAACATGTGTCATAAGCCAAGTACCCCTCTCCTGAGAGGCCAGGGCACTTGGCATCTGGATTCCTGAAGACAGGTTTCTGTTCCAGATCAAACATCAAAATAGGACCGAAAGCCATAGGTCAGGGGAAGGAGAGGTCTTCTTCCCAAACCCTGCTGTAAAGTCCTACCTCAAGGGTTCCCAAAGTGGGGTTCTGGGCCTGCAGCAACAGCATCAGTATCCTCTGGGAATGTGTTAGAAATGCAAATTCTCAGGCCTTCAGAGACCTGTGATCTGAAACCCTGGGGGTGGAGCCCAGCAGCCTGTGTTTGACAAGCCCCCCAGGGGATGCGGAGGCCTGCTGCAGTCTAAGAACCGCTGCTCAATCTGCTGCTTGACCTCTTCGAGCCTCAGTGTACAGGCTGTGAAGCAGGGAAGTACTGAGAGCATCCCATGAGATCACAGAAGCAAAGCTGTCTGGCCCAGAACAGAGGCCTGGTGAACGAGAGCTGTTCACAGGCCTCGCCAAGAAGACAACTGCCGTTAGACACGTGACACCTCCAGTGGACAGGAGCGGCCCCTCTCTTTCAGCAACACCAAACACCTCCAGCAGCCTCCACCTGCCTACCCTTGAAGGCACAGCTCCCTAGGCATCTCCTACCCCAAGTCTTCCTCTGTCCTCCCAGGTATGCCCTTCACCAAAGGTGGAGCAGGTGACAGCGGGTAGAAACCAGGCCCAAGTGGCTCATAGGCTTTTGACCCAGGCAGTTGGGAGCTACAAAGGGCAGACACACATTCACCCCTGGGATCCCACATTCTATAAGCTTCAGAGCTCCTCAAACCTGGGTTTGTTCCCTGCGCTCAATAAATGATAGCAATTGCAATTATATCCAGTTAACCCAGAGGAAGTGAACTTTGGGGGGCAGGGAGGCCTTTCCAGGGCTCTGAAGTTACCACACAGTTACTGGGGGGTCAGAGACAAGGGCCTGGGAGAGAGACACCCCCCCCCCCCCCAAACACACAATAGCAGGCTCTGCAGTTATCCATCACGGTGAGGGGACAGCATCCAGTGTGAACTTGGCAGAAGCAAGTTGGGGGTTGATGCCCAGCCCAGTCTGGTTCCTGTTTCCTGCCCACCCTGCAAATGATCTGCATGCTTATCCCAGTCTTTGGTTCTCTCTTGCCTGGGCCCTGCTCCTGGGGCTTCCTGAGAAATAGGGACAAGAGAAGTCACCTCCTCCACCTGGCCAGCCCTAACTGGTCCCTGAAGCCACCCTCAGACTCCTGCATGAAGCCTTGAGTCTGCTCATTCCAGAGCCTGCTCAGAATGATGGCTTCCCCTAAGAGCACTCAAGGCCTTTGAATGCAGGCTGTCAGGGCAAGGAGAGAGGGGAGGGCCTTGCCACACCCAGCTCTGCCCACAAGGGTGAACAATCTGAGGAATGTGCTATGTGAGCAGAACCTCTGTTCAAACAAACCCCAGCTCTCCCACTTCCGAGCTGTGTGGCCTTGGACAAGTTACTTCCCCTCTCTGGGCTTTGTTGTTTTCCCCTCTACAAGGATAGAGGTGGGAGATTAGATAGCATCTCAGAGCCATCCTAGCAGTGTGGGCCTCTGATAACGGAGCTGGGGTCCCTCCAAGGTAACTGGGTTGAAAGTCCAGCAAGGGGAGGGCCCATGGGGTCTCCTAACTCCTAATCATGGCTCATGACTGGCTGGCTGCTTCTGCCCTCCTTGGAACCAGCCCTCCATGAGGCTGGGCAGGAAGGTGGCCCATCACTGAAGAAGGAACTTAAGCAGGCTCCACACTCCTCTACACTTACGTGAGGGGCTTTTCCAGGCGGCTCCCAGGGGATCCCACAATCTCTCCAAGGGTGCAGAAGGCCTGGCCCAGGAAATCCTGCATATCCAGGGTACAGAGAAGACCAGTATCACCCCCTCTGCTCACAGTCATCCCAGCACCCCCAGCACCCCACCCCTGGAAGCGTGATGGCTCTGAAATGACAGGACACAGCGCCAGACACACACTGTGTCACAGTGAAGCCTGAGGCTGATTCAGAGCTCTGCATTTAAGAGACCTGCAGAATCGCTGGGCAGTCACAGGTGGAACTCACGTGTTTGGATAAGTCGGGGCTCTTCGAGTCAACGTCGTATCTGCAGGGAACACAGAGAGGTGGTGAGGGTGGCTGGGGGTCCTGCCCAATCCAGTCTGTGTCAGGACCTCTGCACCCCCCAAAACAGGCTCTGATCTCAGGACAGCTTGCACAGAGGGAGAGGTCAATGGGGACCTCTCCGTCGCCTGGGGAGAAAAGGGCTCCCAGAGGTGGAGCTAGAGTTGTCTCCAAGGTCTCTCTCAACCCCCACCCAGGTCAGGTAGCTGCTCAGTGTCTCCCACACTTAACTGAGAACAATGGGGGGTGCTTCGTTCCCTCTCCCCACCTTCCCTCCATCTCCTGATGAGGCTAGACTTCAGCTAATAGTCACTTTTACTCCAGGCCAGCCCGGGCTTCCTCTAACATCAGTGTCCCCCCTTCCCTGGTAAGGGGACCTGCCCGACCCCAGGTCCTCCAGCCCCACCTCCCATCACTGCTTCCTCCCCAGGAAGATGGTGCTCAGTCCTCAGCACCATCTTCCACTTACAGGTCAAAACGGAGGTTCTGCTTCTCCTCAAAGAAGTAATCCACGATGAACTTGCGCACAAAGTCGGGGTTGAGCGTGTTGTCGATGACTTCGGTGCGCCCGAACTGCAGGAAGAGACGGGGCGTGGACCTGGGTCCAGGCTGGGGGGCAGGGGAGCCCTGGGCTCGAGCCCCGCAGTCCTGGCCCTGGGTGGTAATGGAAGCTTCGCTCTCCTGGCCCCTGGCCCCACCCCAGCGGAGGGGAGAGCCCCCCCATCTAGCAGTGGGAATCGTCCGCACTGGCTCCAGCTTTACTCTCCCTCTCTACCAGGCTCCGCCCCAGTTGAGTGGTTCTGATGCCCGGGCACCTGAGCAGGCGCTTCACTGTCCCAGCTCCTGCCTCTGCCTCGGCTGCCTTCCCCCTGGCTCCTCTTCTCCGCCAGGGCCACGGCCTCCATCCCTTCAAGGTCCCTGGCTGATGCCGCCTCCTCCAGGAAACCTTCCTGATCCTTCCAGCCAGACAGTTTTACCTCTCTCTGACCTGCCACTGGACTTGTGCCTGCCCTGTGACCACCATCCGTCCCTGGCTGATTCCAGTTAGGTGTGTACTTATTCGATGCCCCCCTGGAAATGCAAGGGCAGAGACAGGGCCGGCGGGAGCAGATCCCACCTCCTGGCATCCACACCCCTGTGTAATCTCTCCCCTTGCGCGTCGGCCGGACCTAGTGACTGTCTTCTAAAGAATAGGCTAGAGCACAAGTCCCTTCCAAGATTATGTTGTGAAGGACTATGGCTTCTGTCTTGGGTACCCTCTTTCGCTCTAGCTGGCTCCCCTTAAAGAAGGCAGCTGCTGTGTTGTCAGCTGCCCTGTGGAGAGGCCCATGTGGTAAGGAACTAAGGACGGCCAGCCCATCCTAAGAACCACAATCCTACCAACAACCACTGACAACTTAGAAGTGGACCCTGCCCAGCTGAACCCCGTGATGACTGAGGCTCTGGCCAACACCCTTGACTATGGCCTTGTGAGGTAGAGGATCCCACAAAGCTGCCCCCAGATTCACGACCCTATTGTTTCAGTGGCTAAACTCTGGGCTAATTTGTTACACAGCAGTAGATAACTAATGCACAGACTTGACTTTCTTAGTATCCCCTGCAGCATATACTCTAGAATTTTTCAAACATTAGACACTCAATAATTGAATCCTGCCCAGCTGGGCATGGCTCAGAGGTTGAGCATTGACCTAGGATCCAGGAGATCGAGGTTCGATTCCCAGTCAGGGCACATGCCTAGGTTGTGGGCTCGCTCCCCAGTCAGGGGCATGCAGGAGGCAGCCGATCAATGACGACTCTCTCATCACTGTGTTTCAACTCTCTCTCTCTCCCCCTCTCCTTTCCTTTCTCTGAAGTCAATAAAGATATATATATTTTAAAAATCATTGAAGTGTCAATTATTCATTAAAAAAATTGAATCCCATTAAACTCCCCCAGATGACTTAGGGAATCACTCCCCTCTTCTGAGCTCAGATGCAGGTCTCACTCCCAGAGGTTCTGATTCAATAGGTTTAGGGTGAGGCCTGAGAATCTGCATTTCTAAAAAATGCAGGCGATGCGGCCACTGCTGGCACAGGGACCTCCCTTTGAGAGCCACTAGGCGACACTGTGGTACATGGAGCCCTGAGGTCCCAGGAGTCTTCCATGTCTGGGACAAGGGCAGTGTGGGCGTGACTCCAGGCCATCGATTCCACCAAAGCAGCTCTCTTACATCTGTTCAATACACTGGACAGATGAGATTTTGTTTCAAGAAAGGGACATGGCTGCACATTAGAATCACTGGGGAAGTGTGAGATACTGAAATGTGCAAAAAAGCCGATTACTGGGTGCTCCGTTTCACATATTAGTCCAGATGTCTGACTTCACAGGGATCTGCACCTTTCATGATCTTTGAGATACTTTACAGCTGTGTGAAATGCAGAAGCCATAGAGCGATGCAAACGATTCTTGTCTGCAGAAATGCAAATAAATTTAGTAAGGTAGTATGCAATTGATTATTACTCTCTCGCTATTGACCAGCTTTGTATCTATTTATAAATTCATTTCAGCACTCTGGATTGCCCGTATGTGCGCTTTATTTGAATTATAGTAAGTCCTCATTTAATGTCATTCATAGGTTCGGTGACTTTAAGAGAAATGATGTATAATGAAACCGATTTTACCACAGGCAGTTAATCCCTATGGCATCTCACCAACATAACAAAACGACATTGAACAGAAGACCTTATTTGAGGACCTGTTATATTTGAACCAGTTGCAACATCTTACTGGTTCCCTCATTAATTAACGGGTTAAGTAAATCTTTTCCATGTGTTCATTTTGTATTTGTATGGGATTAATGATTTTACTTTTTAAAATAGGTATCCTTTAATAGGAGCTTTTTATTTATTTATTTATTTATTTATTTATTTATTTTTAAATTTTATTATTGTTTAAAATATTACAGATGTCCTTTTTTCTCCCCAATGACCCATTCCACCCCGTTTAATAGGAGCTTTTTAAAAACATCCATGCTCAAGCCCCACCACAGACAGACTAAATCCAGATCTCAATGGGTGGGGCCTGAACAACTGTTTTTTTATAGTTTCCAAGGTGATTCTAATGTGCAGACGGAGTTGAGAACCAGTGATGGAGGAAGGAAGAAGGAACATTTACTGAGCCCCTGCTGAAGCTCAGTAAGCAAGTAGGTCATTATGTTATTCGATTCTCACAAAGGCCTTGTGAGTTATTTACCCATTTTACAAGTAAGGAAGCAGAATCAGAGAGGTTAAGTAACTTGCCCAAGGCCACACAGCCAAGCAGAGCTGGGATCTAAACCCAGGTATGTCTAACTCCAAAGCCCATTATAGGTATTTTTATCTCATCTAACTGACTGGCAGGAGTCTTCAAGCATTATAAAAATCAGATAAGATGAGTTTTACTTCACAAGCATTTACAGAAGCCCCACTGTGAGCAAGGCAATGGGGAGGACAAGTTGAATAAGGCTGGGTTCCTGCCCCACCCCCTAAATTCAGTTAAAATCTCATAATTATAACCCTTGTTCCAAAAGAGTTCCTGCATTTTCCTCTCCTGCTCATTCTAATTCTTAATACTTCCAGTCTTCAGACAAAAGGAACATTTCTAATGGCAGAATCTTCCAGGTAAACACCCCGGTTCACAAGAATCCTCTATTAAAGAAGGGCCACACCTCTTCCTCAGTGCATTGCCCTCCTCCCTCAAGCACCTTTAAAAATCCCTCCAGCAGGATTTGGGATAAACCCAAGTCCACAAGAAGCAAGCATTCTTTTGTGCACCCCTCCCTTCACCCCACTGCCAGCAGGCTCCAAGGAAAACACCCATTAGGGAAGATGACAGCTGCTTTTAAAATGGCACTTGAAGCTTCAATCGAGGGAAATTCCCTAGAGATTGAGCTCTGCTGGAGAAGAAAATGGAGTTCCCCTGGAAACAGCGCAGGGAGGGGGGCTCCAAGAGCCCCCGATATCTCCTAGAGCAGGAAAGGGGGCAAGCGAGCCAGGCTGGGCAGTGATGAATTATCAGGACTCTGGGGTAATTAGCATGTGCAGGGCACAAAGGACTGTGAAATCTACAACCCAGGGACTTACTAAAGATGTTTTATGGCCTTCATTACTTGAACTAATAGCAAAGGAAAAATAAGCAAAAACTTGGATTTTAAAAATCCAAGAAGCCACCAGGTCCCTATTAGGCCCAATTTATACCCCTATTAATTGCGGTAGGCACACAACTGAACTGATGGTCAAAGAAGTCAATGCGGCTGTATTTCATTCCACATAGAACTGTTGAGTCTTCCAGCGGGAAGGGACTTGGAGCAGTGAGGGATTAGCAGTGGGAAGCCCCCGGAGGCCTGTGATCCGACTGTTGTACTTGGGAAGGAGGGAAGGGTGGGTTAACCCCTCAGCACCTGTAATCAGAGCCAAGCTAGCCCTGAGCACTATTCCAGCTCCTTAGAAATACCTGTCCCTCCTTCCGGTCCTTTCGGAACCACTCTGTCCACACTCCAGGGTCTGAGGATGAGGGGGGGGCCTCACGTTGCTCACAGTCTGAGCACAGGCCACCAAACACCGGTGGACACAGGGAATCTCTGATCAACAAAGCTGAAGACAAGCCCCCAAATCTTTGTTTTACCAAGTGATTCTGATGCAGAGAGCCCTAGGGTAAGGGGGCAGGTGTGGACGGGGTAGGCTGTGGTGTGTAATTGGGGAAGGGGCTGAGCAATCAAGGAGGTGAGGGGGACCCCCGTGACCCCAGGGGCCGGGCAGTCCCCCAGTGGGGACAAAGAAAGAAAATACAAATGAGTCCTAGCCAGTTTGGCTCAGTGGTTGGAGCATGGGCCTACTGACTGAAGGGTCTCAGGTTCGATTCCAGCCAAGGGCACGTACCTCAGTTATAGGTTCGATCCCCGGCCCTGGTCAGTGGGCGAGCAGGAGGCAGCCAATCAATGTGTCTCTCTCACATCGATGTTTCTCTCTCCCTCCCTCCACTCTCTCTGAAAAGCAATGGAAAAAATATCCTCAGGCGAGGATTTTTAAAAAAAAGAAGTCATGAAATCTCATGACTAAGCCCCGAGAATATCAATTCATCAGCATTAATTACATGTCACCAGCTCCAGCAAGACCCTCAAAGGGGAGACGGACTTGAAACTTCTCTGAGGACTAAATTAAATGGCTCCGGGGTGCTCTGCACCACACAGGTGTTGGGAGTTAAGGGGTAGGAGGGCAGCTGTCCCTCCAAACTGCCCTGGGACAAGCAAGGGCCAGTGCAAGGCTGAGAATGAGAACCCCTGTCAGGCAAGTAAGGCAAGGGACTGCAAGCAACTCGAAGTCTCCCACCACACGCGTCAACTCCGGCCAATGCCCAGAGCCAGGGGGGTGCAAAGGGGCAGCTAGGCCAGGGGCCCAGGACCCCCACGGGCCACAGTCTGTTGCTTATCTACGTGAGACAACATGGAACCGCCTCAGAGGCTGCATGTCCCCATTGCTAAAACAGAGCAAACCATTCCTTCTCCCGAGGAAGGTGGAAGGGAATGTGCGAGAAGCACTGTGCGGAGTGTCTGCTGC